CTGATCTTGTAGGCCGAGCTGTTCCACGACCCTCGATCTGATGATGTTGGCCGAGCTACCTGGATCAATTAACACACGCTTAACTCGAGATTTATTTATAAGTACTAATATTACCAATGCATCGTTGTGGGTCTGCACGATCCCGTCAGCGTCTTCGTCATTGAAGGACAAGGTTCCCTCCGGCACATAATCCCGAGTCCGTTTTTCCCTTGTGATAGATACTTTGGTGCGCTTTAGCATCGACCCCGCCGATGATCATGTTAATGACATGCTGAGGTTCCTCCTGTTCGATCTGTTTACCAGAATCTCTATTCCTAAAGTGGTTCTTGGCTCGATATCTTAGGAGCTCTCGGAGATGCCCGTTATTGAATAGCCGGGCTACTTCCTCTCTTAATTGTCGGCAATCTTCTGTCCTGTGACCGTGAGTACCATGATATTTGCACATTAAGTTCGGATCCCTTTGGTTTGAATTGGATTGTAGAGGTCGAGGCCATTTGGTGTCTTTGATACGCCCAATGGCTGATACGATGGCGGCGGCGACGACGTTAAAGTTGTACTCCAATAGCCTTGGCTCTTCCTTCGGCCCGATGGGCCTGTCGAAACTATTTTTGCTCATGAGCCCCCTGTTGTTTTACCTCGATCACTTATTCTTTCACTTTTCACGGGGTTTTGCCCAAATCCACTACATCTTCGGTTTCCATTGTATGGCTGATATCGATCCATGTTCAACCTTGGTTCACGATCAACATCTTTTCTGGATCTGCCGACTGTTCTGACGGGATAAACGGACCCGGAATGGGCCCCGAGTTGATAGTCTTCGACCCTGATTTTTGATTGATATCGATTATGCACGTCGGCCCAAGTGACAGTCGGGTACTCCACCAGATTTTGTTTCAACTGTTGTGAAGACAACGAGCTTCGAGCATTGAGTCCATGGGTGAAGGCTTGAACGGCGCAATCGTCCGCGACCGGAGGCAAGTCCATCCGTTCCATTTGAAATCGGGACACGAATTCCCTAAGCATCTCATTATCCCTCAGCTTCACTTTGAAAAGGTCTGACTTCCTGGTCTCGACCTTGATAGCCCTGGCGTGTGCTTTTACGATGGAATTTGCAAGCATAGCAAACGAGTCAATAGAATTAGGAGGTAGGTTGTGATACCATATCGTAGCTCCCTTGGACAGAGTTTCCCCAAACTTTTTCAGAAGGACAAACTCGATCTCGTCATCCTCCAAGTCGTTCCCTTTGATGGTGCATGTGTAGGAAGTCACATGCTCATTTGGGTCGGTCGTTGCGTTGTACTTCAGAATCTTGGGCATGCGGAACTTCTTTGGGATCGGCTTCGGCGCTGCGCTCGGAGGAAAAGGTTTTTGAACAAACTTCTTGGAATCCAGGCCCTTCAATATCGGAGGTGCTCCTAGGATTTGGTCGACCCTGGAATTGTAGGTTTCCACCTTTTTGTCATTGGCTTTGATTTTCTTCTCCCCCGATTCTATCTGTTTTGTCAATTTCTCGAGCATTTTTATGATCTCGGGGTTAGTCCCCGATTCATTTTCATTCGACCTTTCCGCGATCGGTTCATTTCTGCGGGTGACTTCCCGGGATGGCTCGGGCTCAACCCTGCTTGGCGCTCGGCTTTGGTTATGCAACTGGGCTATCGTTTCTCGTTGAGCCTGTAATATTTCGAATATCACCTGCAAATTGATCCCATCGTTTTCACCACTGTGCGTATTCTGGACAATTGATCGGACTTCCCTGCGCACGATGTTCTCGGGACCGGTAGGAAAATTTGTGTTGATGGCCACATGGGTACTGGCGTCGATAGGGTCCGCGACCTGAACTCCGCCGAGATTGAATAGGGGCACCTTCGTTATTGGGTGCTACATTATTGTTCTCGTCATGGTGGCTGGACTCCACATCCATGTTTAGAGGGGCAGACTGGGGTTTGACATTTCGATTTTAACCTGGAATCGAAGACACTTCAAAGAACAAGTGTAAAATAGGGTGTGTTACGGGAATTTGTATCAAATTGCCGCTATTATCCTTAGCCCACGGTGGGTGCCAAACTGTTTACCCTCAAAATCGGATAACAATTAAATTTGTAAGTGGTTTTAAGGATACACGGATTGACTTGATACAATCAATAAATTAAGTTACTATTGAATAAATAAAGATAAAATAAATTCAAACCACATGCGTTGGATAGTTTCATCCTTAGTGAAATAGCCACTCTCGAGCCGGGCTCGCCACGACCGGTAAATTATTGAAAAAGAACAAGAGCTAAAGATAGAGAGAATAATAATATATTACTTTTGAATGCGTGTTACAATATGTTTCATGAATTATCAGACCCCCTTTATATAGTAGGGGAGTCCTATTTTAGGTACAACTTTATAAAAGGTAAAATATCTTTTGATTCACTAATTGCCGGTTCTTTATCGATACGTGCCGAGATCCCCGCCGTAATATTCGGCCGGTCACGGATATTTCGGCCTTCTGTTGGCTATGTCGGATTGTCTGACAATGTTCTTCGAAGTCGATCGAGGTCAAGACCAATTCGGGGATCATGGCCTCGATATTCTCGAGGGCAGGCGTCATGCCCCCGAGTTCGGTGGGACTTTGACCCGATTTCGGTCCCTTGCCACCATGTCTCGAGCCTGACTTATTTTGTCGGAGGCCGGGATGCACCCTGAGCTCGATTTCATCGATTTCACCCATATACAGTTATGTTTGTCACAAAATAAATATTGCTCTCCCACAGACAGATGGTTGTGAGTTTATGTTCCCATTAAAGGTCCAGCGCATATACGTTAATTCATAAGCAATTCTACCGTAATGTGTTCTAAATATCCCTATTTAGGTTTAATGGTACATTCTACTAGAGGATGAATGTTGTCACTGAATTATCCATCAATTTATATTCAGTTTCTCTGAAATACCTCATGAAGTGCCAGAGGATAACAATTCTGAAATTGAAAGGGAGTACAATCTCTGCTCGAACAATTTGGCATACTTAATTTTTACTATTTTGAGAATCAATCCTAGAAGATAAACATTGATGCTGTTGCCCTAATCGTAAGTCCGGTTGTAGGTGTACCTTTTCTCCGAACAAAATTATTAACGTTATGATAGTTCTAAGGGCGAGATAACGTTGATCAACTGATTAACGATGAATGCATGTATTTTATGAAGTATAATGGATGTAACTGACACATGAGCTCCTATTTGTAGAAGTTTGAATAGGCAATGTACTTCTTTAAGCGTAGTATAAGACATGGAAGCTTCATGTATGGTTAATATGTAACTAAAGAACGCCGAACTAATAGTTAAATAGGCAAAATACACAGACTGCCCCTAAATTATGGATCAAATCTCTGTTATATATTTTTTATGGACAAAAATTATTTTGCACGAGTGTCCCCAAGAGATGCTACTTTTTTCTTGACTAGTTTTTCAAAACATGTGTAATATCACGCACCAGTCATACAGCGACACGTGTCATTGGCTTAAAAAAAAAAAAAGAAAAAAAAAAATTGAAAAGGAACCCATCTCCTTCGGTGTGCCTTCACAGTCCCACCACCACTACTCCTCCGTCAATAATCATCTTTCATCCTTCATCCATTAACATACGCATATTCAAGAAACAATCATGGATAGACTAAAAATATAACCCAGTTTTCATCGTCCCACCATCATTACTCACCTTCCACAGCTTTCTCGTTATCTCCATTGCCGTCGAGCATCCAAAAAACCCAAACCTCTACCTTACAATTCAACAAGAAAAAAAAATAGAAGCCCTGTATTTTTTTTTTCGAAAACTTTTGAGATATAATAAGTGGGTTTTCTTTATGGCTCCCCCATTGAAAAGGGAAAAAAAAGAGAAGATTCTTCTACATTGTTCTTCTAATCTCACTTGAAGATTTCATTACAGATTCTTCTACATTGTTTATAATTTCTTCCATAATTGATTTTTTCATCTGTTACAATTTGAACAAATTTTTTCATTGAAAGTAGAGAAAATGGATAGTAAACATTATCTTACATTTGAACCAGATTACTTTAGAAAACTAAAAAAAAAGGAAGATATTAGAAAAGGACAAAAAGAAAATCTATTTAACCGTTGGATAAGTTTCATTAAATCTAGACCCTTCAAATAAAGCATCAGATATACAGTTTTTTTACAATTCATACACCTTATTTTGTTTGTAAAACACGCACCTGCTACGCAAACAAAGATGTGTTCTGTAAAGGCCGAGTGTGTAAGAAAATTTTTGTCCGCAAAAAATATATAATAGGAATTTGGTCCATAATTAAGGATAATTTATATATTTAATATTCAAACTTGGCCTCTGTGGTTCATATTGTGATTTCAAAGTTGGTGACTTGTTTATATAAACTTATTTTTTTTTATCGGTTAAAAAAAAAATGATTCATTTTTAAATTTGAAAACAGTTTAATTTAAATTTTTAATTTTACCCTTAATAAATTTTTTTTATAACAACACAAATACTCTAAACCTCTTTTTGACTTGTTTAGGACCACAAATTTTAAAAAATTTTATATTTTTTAAATTTGTGCCCAGTCAAACAGATTCACATAAATTGGAACAGATGGATGGAGTGTATATAAGATTTGCAAGTACCGGTGCAAGCCTACCAGACAAAACTTCTTATCTTAGACCTGTATTAAATAAATTCTTTTATACTATTACTGTAATTTACTCGATCGTAATAGTTTGTTTGCTTTATGTTTCAGGTATCTATTCATAGTTAGTACTGGAGCTAATTATTTTTAAGATAATCTAATAGTATAAAATTCTTGTACACCGATCAGAATACTAAAGTTAAAACTCTTAATTGAATTGTATGGGCATTATTATGTGTCACAGAGAGAATGGTGGCTTAGCTTAGAAGATAAAACTCTAGGAATGGTGCGGTCATCAATACACAGGCACTCCTCCGTCAAACCCCACACCAATTGTCTTTATTATCTCGCCCTCTTTTATCCCTTCACTGCTGCAGTATCTCTTTCCAGTCTCTCTTCTCACTTTTCCACCCAAACACTCCTTTTCTGTAGTGTCGTAAACAACTTTGCCCTTACTTCTTGTATTTGTACATTCAAAACTCCTCTTTTTGCCTTGCTTCATCTCTTCTCTGGATTGTTGCAAATTCAGAGCCTCCTCAACATGGGAGCTCCCCTGCATTCTCAATTACTACTATTTATCTGCAGCCTCAGTTTAGTTCTGCTTTCGTTCAAAATCCAATTAACTTATGCCATGTCAACAATTACAGCAATGGCCAAAGACCAAATAGCCTGCACAATGTGCTCCTCCTGTGACAACCCATGTCAGCTAATCTTCTCTCCACCACCACCATCACCTCCGCTTCCATGCCCGCCTCCACCGTCACCGCCGCTGCCACCACCTCTGCCCCCACCCTCATCAGTCTATAATAGTCCACCGCCTCCTTCACCGTCCAGTTCTTGCCCGGGAAACTGCTCTCAGCCTTTATCACCGCCTTATAATGGCGGAGGTGTCGGTGGCGGTGTCGGTGATGGTGACTACTTCTATCCTCCGACCAACCCTTCTATATATCCAACTCCTCCACCTCCAAACCCCATCGTACCGTACTTCCCTTTCTATTATTACAACCCTCCTCCACCTAGTACACTTATCTCCGACTCCGCTCAATTTCAAAACCATCCTTTTATCACTTGTCTCATCCATGCCATGGCCATTTTCTTGCTTCTTTGACCTTAAAACAAGAGCAAAACATTAGAATTAACTGTTTTTTTAACAGCTGTGTTTACTTTATTCCTTCTATATATCCAATTTGAATATATATTTCAGGTTTAGGTAATCTTCAGAATGCCACAGAATGAAGAAAGGCCAGGGGATAGAGAGGAGGAACAAGAAATGGTGGACAAACAAACCGGGCCACCAAATTGCCATGGAAAAAAGAGTGTTTATTGGAGGACATCCTAGTCTTCTTTTGCACACGTGGAAGTAGAATATTATAGCTCTAAGTATTCTTACCCATGAGTCACATTCTTACTACATTTAATTTACATATAGGACCAAAAAAGAATTCTTGTTGCATGCATGCATGTACTCATCCTATATGAAAATGTTTGATTATCTTAATATTCATGTTTCAAATTGTTCAATGACAAATATATCATTTCCTTTTGCTTTGTCACCATAGGCAAATTTATCATTTAGAGTTGGTGAGTATATATGGTCTAAGTATGCATATACAGTTAGACCTCTCCATAACAACATCCTTATATAATAGCACTTCACTATAAAAGTCAATTTTTTCCGAAACCAAATTTCATGTTCTGTTATAATATATGTTTTCTATAATAGCAATTCACGATAACATCCAAAAATATCTGAAACAAACGAGGCTGTTATAGAGAGGTTTGACTGTATATAGCTCAAGTCGAACTAAAGGCCTGCGTGTAGTTGTCAATCGACCTGATTTGTTAATTGGCGCGCGAATTTTGCTCATTGTGAGGAAACGAAGTACTAGAAGATTCACAACTAGAAAACTGTTGAAACCCATCCACACCTTTCCGATCGAAATCGATCAGAAAATAAACTAACCGATGGCTGTGGGAAAGGAGGTAAATTGGTCGCAAAAGTCAACGAAAATATTTCTCACAAATATACCGACCACCTTCGGTCGGAAATAGTAGTCCCACAACAAAAAATAAGAGACGGAAAGTGGTCAATCATTGACCAAGACCTGGTCATACTTGCATAATATCTACCAAAATAAGTTTTAATTAAAAATTTTCAATTATACCGACCGCAATCAGTCGGAAAGTTGATATTATTTTTCCCCGCTCGGTTTTTAAATATAACAAAAATTATATATATATATATATAATTACCGACCGATTTCGGTCGGTATTATATATTGTTAAATTATATGTTATTTACAATATCTACATATATTTAACAATACACACACTCATATATATATTTATATATATATATATATATATATATATATATGCTATAACTTACTATAACTGTTCATTACATCACTCGAATGCTTGATCGGTGAATAAATAAGAAAACGAATCTTGAAGTTTAAGTGAACATTTTAAATATTTTAAGTGACTACATGCTCCAGTATAATGAGTGACAAGATGCTCCAAGATATGTACAATCGACATAGTCTTGAATATTTTATTCTCGATCACCTTATTAGTAATTTGCTCGGATACTTCATCAGTGGATCAATTAAAAATTTAATTATATTCGATTAAAACTTACTATAACATATTTAAAAACAAAGTGTATATTTCTATAAGATGTAGTGCTATGTTAATACTTAACTTTTAGCAACAACAACATATGTCATTTATGACTTGTACGCAAAATTTGAGTTCATTCCGGATTGATTTGATATGTTTCGGCGCGAGGTTTGAAAGTTGAAAGATTTAAAGTTCAATAAGCTTGAATTGGGGTATGATTCGTGGTTTTAGTATTATTTGATGTGATTTGAGGCATCGACTAAGTTTGTATGATGTTTTAGGACTTGTTGATATATTTGGTTGAGGTCCCGAGGGCCTCGGGTGGATTTCGGATGGTTAACAGAATTTAAGTTGGATATTCCTAGAATGTTCGATGTTAATTTTTCAAGAATACGTGGTATTACAATAAGAATAAGAAAATTAACTCCAAATTTAGTTTTGCTTGAAGCATTAGATCCATATTGAAATTACGGAGCCATAGTAAAAAGAATCGTCTAATTCGGACATCGTATGAGAGAGTTATGCCCATTTATGTGTCGAGAATGATTTTCTGTCGCCGTCAGCGCCCAGGGTAGCGTGGGGTACTATCCCTGGTGCTGGGACTGCTGGAGGTACTGGAAAGGGCGCCACAGGTGGCGTAGACGTAAAAATCCCATAAAACGAGGAGTTTTGCCATTTTTACTCATTTTTGAGTTTGGGAAGCTCGGTGAAGGCAATTCTTGGGCTAATTTTATGGAAAAACATTGGGGTAAGTGTTCCTTATCCTATATTGATTATATTTCATAATTCCATATTCATTTATATCATGAATCCGTGAATTTATGGAAGAAAAATCAGATTTTTATAAAATCTTCCAAAAATGTAAAATGAAGATTTGAAGGTCAATCCGATGTTGGAATTTGATAATTTTTATATGGTTGGACTCGTATCGGAACGGGTGTTCGGATTTTATTAGTTTCATCGGATTCCGAGATGTGGTTCCCACTGCCGATATTTTCGAGCGGAGTTGGGAATTTTTGTAAATTGTTAAATTGTAAGCATTAGAGTAAGTTGTGATTAATTTGCACGTTGTTTGAATAGATACGAGTTGTTTGGCTTGAATTGAGGAGATAGGAAGGCGTATGGAGGTTGATATGCGGGGAATAGAATTTTCGGAGTATTGTACAACTTGCTCGGTATTAGATTTGGCTTGTTCGAGGTAAGTAACTCTTCTAATCTTGGAGCTGAGGGTATAAACCCTGAATTATATGTGTTATGTGTTTGGTGTTAAGGTGACGCACATGCTAGGTGACGGGTGTGTGGGCGTGCACCGTATGAACTGTGATTCCGTTATTCTTGTGGAACTGTGTAGTTACCTGAACTTATCTGAAATCATGGAAATCTCTACGTACTAGAGCTATTGAGCTGAGAATCATGTTAAAATCATATTGAGGCTATATGCCAGTATTATTGAGACCCACAGAGGTCATATTATTGTTGAATTTGTTTAAATTGAAATTTTAAAACTCAGTCATGTTCATTTATTTCATATCATCTCTCAGTCTCTATTGCTATTTATTGATTCATCATATCATCATTTTGGGCTAGTTTCATGACATTGTGAGCCCGAGAGACTGGAGAGATTGATGACTGGGTGAGGCCGAGGGCCTAATTGTGAGGATAATTATGGGATCGGGCTGCACGCCGCAGCAGGTCATATTGGCTTTATATACTTTATTATTATGGGATCGGGCTGCACGCCGCAGCAGGACATATTGGCTTATTATAGCATGCGAGTTGTCCGTGCAGATACAAATATTGATACTATAGCACGTGAGTTGTCCGTGCAGCATGTGAGTTGTCCATGCAGATTATAGCGCTTGGGCTGAAGGATCCCCTCCGGAGTCTGTACACACCCCAGTGAGCGCAGATACCTAATGAGTGCGTGTGCCGAGTGACTTAGGAGGATTGAGTGATTTGGGAGGATTGAGTGACTGGGAGGCATGAGTGGCTGTGCGAATTGAGTGGCTGGGAGGACTGAGTGACTGTGAGGATTGAGTGACTGGGAGGACTGAGCGACTGTGAGGATTGAGTGACTGGGAGGACTGCGTGAAATGATACTCGGAGAGTATGCATATGGTTTTATCACTGAGGTGCATCGCATTGACATGCACACTTGACATACATGCATAGGGATGCATTTTCCTTATGTTGTACGGTATCACGTCATTCATGACTTCTCATACATATTGGCATATGGGCATATTGATGCATTTTCCACTGGCTATGTGGAAAGAAAATGAAACATCTTATTTATTGTTGAAAGGAATTTTGGAAAAATTACTGTTTCAAACTTACTCATATTTTTGGCAACTTCAGTAAAAGACTTGAGTTTTCACTGATACACTTGAAAGGTAGAGCTATTTTCAGAAATCATAATTAAGTTGAGCATGTTATTGTTGAATTATTCCTAATCATATTGTTATGAAATATTGTTGGCTATTGGTGTTGGACCCCGACTTATGCTCCAGCTCGTTACTACTTTCAACCTAAGGTTAGGTTTGTTACTTATTGAGTACATGGGGTCGGTTGTACTCATACTATACTTCTGCACCTTGCGTGCAGATATTGGATGTTGATGTTGTTGTGATCGACGGGAGCTAAATTTGAAGATGTACCTGTGTTCCGGTCATAGCTGCCTCTTGTTCATGGTAGCCTTAGATTTATAAAAATCTGTTTATATACATTTCGAACAGATGATGTATTTATATCATACCAGTTTTGTAAATTCTAACCTTAGAAGCTCATGATTTGTACTACCAGTCCTTGGGGAGTTTAATAGAGTCAGTTAAATATTATTTGAATCAGATATTTGTAAATTAGCTTACCTAACAGGTTGAGTTAGGTGCCATCACGGCTAGTTGGATTTTGGTCGTGACATATATATATATATACATACATAATCTTTAATGTTTTATTCTCGATCACCTTATTAGTACTTTGCTCGGATACTTCATCAGTGGATCAATTGAAAATTCAATTGTATTCGATTAAAACTCATTATAACACATTTAAAAACAAAGTGTATAGTTCTATACGATGTAGTGCTATGTTAATACTTAAGTTTTAGAAACAACAACATATGTACACTTATATTAATATTGCATACGCTAATATAGCATTAATATAACACTTGTACAATAGTTTGGGTATTTATTGCTCTCGGTGTATGATAGAGTGCTAGTGCTATTGTGCGCTACCTTCACCGGAAAATGCCGCGAGGTCGACCTCGGAGACATGCAATAAGTGTGGAATTGAAGGAGTTACCATCGAAGGGTTCAATCACGAAGTCAGTAGAGAAATTAGATGAGGCAATTACGGTTATAGCTGAGGAAAAACCAATGGAACAGTGGCCAGCCCTAACAAAAGGGCTTAAGACCCCGCCGATAATAGCTGGAAGTTCAAATTCAGTACAATCTGTGCATAGTAAAAGTGCAATTATCATAATTGAAGGACCTAAGCAAACAGGAGGTGACAAGGGAACGGGAGAGCCTGGAGCTCAGAGGAAATTGGAGCTACCTGCTCAGCCAGTTGCAGCGACAAAATGAAAGAATCTATTTGCTGAGAACAAGATGGCTACTAGAGGTATGAATCTACATTACATTGCTCCTACGATTAAGAATGGAGTTAAAGTGGCCAAATTAGACAAAGAGGTGGTTGAGAGAGCTACTGAGCGATGGAAAATGGCTGTAATAGTGTATGTAGTGGGTGAAACGCCTACTATAGATGCATTTGAATGATTTGTCACATTCCAATGAAATTTTATTGCTAAAACCTCAATATACCTTCATAATGATGGGTATTTTGTGGTAAAATTTGCTATTATAGAGGATAGAGATGATGTGTTGTATTCCGGACCTTATACGATGAATAGCAAACCAA